GATCCCTTTTATTTCTTTTTCTTGCCTGATTGCTCTGGCTAGGACTTCCAATACTGTGTGAAACAAGAGTGGCAAAAGTGGGTGTCCTTTTCTGGTTCTGTTCGTAGAGGGACGGCTTTCAGTTTTTCTCTGTTGCAAATGATATTTGCTGTGGGTTTGTCATATATAGCCTTTATTATGTTGAGGTATTTTCCTTCTATACCTATTTTATTTAGAGTTTTTACCATAAATGGATGCCGTATCTTGTCAAATGCTTTCTCTGCATCTATTGAGATGATCATGTGATTTTTATTCTTCATTTTGTTAATGTGCTGTATCACGTTATTAGATTTGCGGATGTTGAACCATCCCTGCATCCCTGGAATGAAACCCACTTGATCATGATGTATGATCTTTTTATTGTATTGTTGTATTTGATTTGCTAGTATTTTGTTGAGGATTTTTGCATCGATGTTCATCAGTGATATTGGCCTGTAATTTTCTTTTTTTGTGTTGTCCCTGTCTGGTTTTGGTATCAGGATAATGTTGGCTTCGTAGAATGAGTTAGGAAGCTGCCCCTCCTCTTCAATTTTTTGGAAGAGTTTGAGAAGGATAGGTATTAAGTCTTCTTTGAATGTTTGGTAGAATTCACCAGGGAAGCCATTTGGCCCTGGACTTTTATTTTTGGGGAGGTTTTTGATTGCTGTTTCGATCTCCTTACTGGTGATTGGTCTATTCAAATTCTCTACTTCTTCTTGGTCCAGTTTTGGAAGGTTGTATGTTTCTAAGAATTTATTCATTTCCTCTAGATTATCCAATTTGTTGGTGTATAGCTTTTCATAGTATTCTCTTATTATCTTTTGTATTTCTGAAGTGTCTATTGTAATCTCTCCTCTTTCATTTCTGATTTTATTTATTTGAGCCTTCTCTCTTTTTTTCTTGGTGAGTCTAGCTAAGGGTTTGTTGATTTTGTTTATCTTTTCAAAGAACCAGCTCTTGGTTTCATTAATTTTTTCTATTGTTTTTTTAGTCTCGATTTCATTTATTTCTGCTCTTATTTTTATTATTTCCTTCCTTCTGCTGATTTTGGGCTTTGTTTGTTGTTCTTTTTCCAGTACCTTTAGAGGCACTTTTAGATTGTCTATTTGGGACTTTTCTTCTTTGTTGAGGTAGGCCTGAATTGCTATAAACCTCCCTCCTAGAACCGCTTTTGCTCTATCCCACAGATTTTGGAGTGTTGTATTTTCATTTTCATTTGTCTCCAGGAATTTTTTTATTTCTCCCTTGATTTTTTCATTGACCCAATCGTTGTTCAGTAGCATTTTGTTTAATCTCCACATTTTGTGACTTTTCTGATTTTCTTCCTGTAGTTGATTTCTAGTTTCATACCTTTGTGGTCAGAAAAGATGCATGGTATTATTTTGATCTTCTTAAATTTATTGAGACTTGTTTTGTGACCTAATATGTGATCAATCCCGGAGAATGTTCCATGTGCACTTGAAAAGAATGTGTATTCTGTGGTTTTCGGATGGAATGTTCTATACATATCTACTAAGTCCATCTGGCCTAATGTGTCATTTAAGGCCAGTATTTCCTTATTGATCTTCTGTTTGGATGATCTATCCATTGGTGTAAGTGGAGTGTTAAAGTCCCCCACTATCATTGTGTTACTGTCTATTTCTCCTCTTATGTCTGTTAATAATTGCTTTATATATTTAGGTGCTCCTATGTTGGGTACATAGATATTTACAAGTGTTATATTTTCTTGTTGGATTGTTCCCTTTATCATTATGTAGTGCCCGTCGTCGTCTCTTGTTACAGTTTTTGCTATAAAGTCTATTTCGTCTGATATAAGTATTGCTACCCCTGCTTTCTTTTCTTTGCCATTTGCATGGAATACCTTTCCATTCTTTCACTTTCAGTTTGTGAGTGTCCTTAGGTCTGAAGTGTGTCTCTTGCATGCAGCATATACATGGGTCTTGTTTTTTTATCCAATTGGCCACCCTATGCCTTTTGATTGGAGCATTTAGTCCATTGACGTTTAAAGTAGCTATTGATAAATATGTATTTATTGCCATTTAGTTACTTTTTTTTTTCCTGGGTGTTTTAGTAGTTCTCTGTTCCTATCTTTTTCTCTTGTTCTCTTCCCTTATAATTTGATGGCTTTCTTTAGTAATATGTTTGATTTCTTTTGTCTTACTTTTTTGCTTACTTATTATAGGTTTCTGATTTGTGATTACCATGAGGATCCTATTTAATATTCTATGTATATAACATATATATATATATCGAGTTGATAGACTCTTTAGCTTGACCTTTTTCTAAAAGCTCTGCTTTTTCACTCCCCTCCTCCCACATTTTATGTTTTTCAAATCATATATAGTGTCTTGTTTAGTGTGTGTCTGTCCATTACCCTCTTATCATTGAAACAGGTGATTTTAGTACATTTGTCTTTTTACCTTCATATTATCTTCACAGGTGGTTGATCTGCTACCTTTAGTATATGTTTACCTTTACAAGTAATTTTATTGCTTGTTTGTTGTTTTTTGGTTTTTTTGATAATTGTTTTTACCTCCATTTGTGGTCATCGCTTTCCCACTTAAATAAGTCCCTTCAGCATTTCTTGCAGAACTGGTTTCTTGGTGATAAACTCCTTTAATTTTTGCTTGTCTGGGAAGCTCTTTATCTCTCCTTCCATTGTGAATGACAACCTTGATGGATAGAGTATTCTTGGCTGTAGCTTTTTTCCTTTTAGCACTTGAAATATGTCGTGCCATTGTCTTCTCTCCTGTAGGGTCTCGGCTGAGAAGTTCCCTGATAGCCTGATGGGCTTTCCTTTGTATGTCACTGTGGCCTTTCTCTGGCTGCTTTTAGGATTCTCTCTTTATCTTTAATTTTGGACATTTTGATTATAATATGTCTTGGTGTGGGCCTCTTTGGGCTTATCTTGTTTCGAGCTCTCTGTGCTTCCTGAACTTGGATGTCTGTTTCCTTCCTCAGCTTAGGAGAATTTTCATCTATTATTTCTACAAATAAATTTTCTGCCCCTTTGTCTCTCTCTTCTCCTTCTGGGACACCTATAATCTGAATGTTGGTGTGCTTGATGTTGTCCCAGTATTCCCTTAGACTGTTCTCATTGTGTCTAATTCTTTTTTCTTTCTTCTGTTCAGTTTGGGTGATTTCCTCTAGTCTTTTGTCTAGCTCACTGATCCATTCTTCTGCATCCTCTACTCTGCTATTGAGTCCCTCTAGTGAATTTCTCATTTCCAGTATTGTATTCTTCATTTATGATTGGTTCTTTTTTATATTTTCCAGTTCTTTGCTTATGAGCTCACTGTGTTCATCCAGTCTTCTCCCAATATCTGTGAGCATCCTCATGATATTTTGTTTGAACTCTTTGTTGAAAAGGTCACCTATTTCTGTTTCATTTAGTCCTTTTTCTAGGGTTTTGTCCTGTTCACTCGCTTGAAAACTATTCCATTGTCTCTGCATTATTCCTCTTTCTCTGTGCTTATTTCTATGTATTAGGTGAGTCAGCTATGTCTCCTTATCTTGGAGAAGTGGCCTTATGTATGAGATGCCTTATGAGGCCCAGCAGTGTGCTTCCCTCTCATCACCAGTCCAAATGATCCAGGAGTGACTCCTTTATGGGTTACTTGTGTCTTTCTGCTGTGGCAGGGCTGCTCTGATTGCAGGTACCCAGGGAGTCTAATCTTTCCTTCCCTGGCCAGCTGTTTGTAAATCCAGTTTGGGGAGCCTCAGCACCATTGGCTACAAGGTCTATCAGCATGCTCTTATTGTAGTTTTCCTCTTAATTGGGTTGGTACCCAGTGTAGCTGGTTGCTAGGCTCAGGGGCTTACAGTTGTGATAGGCCTCAGGCCTACAAGGCTGTTGTCAGTTCTCTTAGGAGTGCAGCTGAGTGGGGCTGGCCCTTGGCATGGGGAGCACTCAATTGTTTCAGGCTTTGGAAGATGGGGCTGATCCTTTTTATGGCTATTTGTGAAGCACAGGTCTTCTGCCACTGATAAGTCTCATCCCCCACAGCACCACACACACCATCAACACAGTCCTGGTCCGTGCACACTTCCCAACCCCCTGGAGTGTACCCCGACGCTGCACTGCAGAGGTCCCCACCTCTCCACCAATGCTTCCCACAGTTTACCTCATCCCCACACAGGCCCCGCCCCACAGAGGTGGACACACTCTCCTGCCTGTAGAGGATCAAGGGATCCAGTCAATACAGGCCAAAAAGTAGCCTGAGAGCTTGCTGTTGGGTGGGGCTGGTCCCTAGGGCTGCCCACCATGGCTGAACTGGATTAAATCTGTGCTCTAGTGGGTGTGGTAGGCCCCTGGGCTAACAGGCCAAGGGATGTACCTCAATGGTGCCCACCAGGGTCTGTGTCAGCACACCTGGACCTCGTCAGAACAATGGCTGCCACCAATGTCTCAGTCTCCAGAGAGGTGCCTCCTCTCACCAAGATGCCCCCAGAGCCCAGTTGTTTCACCAAAGGACTGTCAGCCCTCTCTCTGGTGATTTTAGGTTGCTGTAATGAGTGAGTTTGTGCGTGAGCCCTTTAAGACCCGGGTCTTTTCAGCTTTCTGCTGATAGCTTTTCTAGGGGTATCCTTGCTGAAGTTAATAGCCAGCAAAGCCAGACAGTAAGCCCCTTGTCTCAGTTGGGCTGAGTCTGAAGGGTGCTTATAGCAGTATTGCCCCTGCTCCGGACCTCACTCCTCCAGGGAGGGCTGCGTACCTTAGGGTGGTTCCTGCCTGGCCAGCTGAGAAGCTCCCCTGCTCCCAAAGGTGGCTTTTTTCCTCTCCAGCAGGAATTTCTGTCCCTTCTGCCTTAGTCAGGACTGTCCCTTGTTGTGGGGGTTCTTCTTATCCAGTTTTCAGTTTTCTCTCCAGGGTAATTTTTCCAAAAATAGTTGTAACCTGGTTGTGTTCATGGGAGGAGATGAGTTTAGAGTCTGCTTATGCTGCCATCTTGACGAGATCCTCTAGGTTTTAAAATTATAAAGCAAAGCTTGTGAATGATTTACAGAAAATTTCAGATAGTGATAACCATTGGATGCTAGGGAGGAGAATGCAGCTGGGGAGAGCTAGCGGGTGGCTTCTGAGGCATCAGTAATGTTCTATTTCTGAGGCTGGCTAGTTGGATCTGCAGGTTTCATAGTATTGGAATTTTTATACTCTACATATTTTAGAAATATACCTTTCTATCTAATTATGTCCATTCAATATTTAATATTTATATTTTTAAAAGAATAAACTTTGTTAATCTATATATAAAATGCCAAACCAGTGAACTTCAAGACATGGATGATGACTAACTCTCGAGGGGCCAGTGAGTTCTGATAGTGAGGGCAGCCAGCCGTATATATTGATTCGTATACTGCAAGAACATTTTACAACCATAATGTATTCATATCAAAGGTAAAAATGTATAATGCAATCATATAATGGAATACTCATAGTTTTATTAAAATTGTGCTGTAGAAGATTATGTAATAAAATGGAAAATTGCTCCAGATATATTTAAGAGAATGTAAAGGTTACAATTGTATTACAATGTTATGCCATTTAGATTTCTCTATAGTAAGAAATGATAAAGCAACAAACTTCCCAAATTCAACAAGATGGTGGTAGTTTCATAAGGAGGCCAAGGATAAGAAGAGGCAAGGTGTCCATTCATTACAGGATTAATGTGTTCTTGACTCCTATGTAGTCTCAAGTAAACAAACTCATCCTGATCCTCCAAGCAGACAGTGGGCAAGACTGAGCAGGGCTTGTCAGTTCCCCTCGGCAGATTCCTATAGGCCTAACTGGGAAATAAGAGAGAAAAAAGTAAGTAAACCTTTTGCCTGAGCTCTGGGGAAATATTTCCTCCCTGACCCTTCTCTCTGAAATTTGAGCCCTTAGAGAAAAATCTTCCTATCTGTGCTACCTCTGTTCAATATCAGCCAACGTTTGTGCTCCCCCTATCTACATATGACTGTGTGGTTCTATTTTTCTTTAAATTAAATAACATCATATTGACTTCAAGGAGGTGACAGGCTAGTTGGGAAGGCAATGTTGATGCAGATTTAACTCTGCACAAAGTGATGCATTTAAATCAGCCCTATTGCAGGTCAGTTGTATCCTCGTTGGTTAAAATACCTAGATAGTAGATTAGGACAAGTGAAATAAACAGAATTAATTGAAGGCAAATTGAAAATGAAAGTAAAAATATCATTGTCAGCTGCTGAGCAAGTTGTCATGTTTCAGATTCTCACCTAGAACTTTCTGATAATGGAGACTAACCTACTTTCTAAATAATTTGTGCAGTAAAATGCAGCTTTTATCTCATCCAATTATCTGTAAAAGGCTTTCAGAGTTTTTCTAAAGCCTCTGAACCTAGAAGGTAAGTCCAGGAATATTTAGTTAGTAAGTTGGTGGAAATTTTGTTGAGAAAACCTAGCCTAACATGATACACCCATAATGGGATCTTAGACTCTTCTGGGGGTTGATCTTCTCTGCGATTCCTTTACTGCTTGGTGGAGAACCTACACCACTGACTTCAGTTTACCACAATTCTCGGAGTCGTTTTGGATCACTTGAGCTTGGTATCACATAAATACAGAATTTACAGCTTAAGTGGTCCTAAATTATGATGTTTCCTCTATTGTGGACAATCTTCTTTAGCACCCCTACCTTTCCAATTCGTGCTCATCCTTCAAGCCCCTGAGGAAATGCTACCTCCTTTATGAAGCCCTCTCCAATCCCCATCCCTTGTATGTAACTACTATATCCTGTGTGTACCCACTATGCATTGTCTTCTTCTCATTCACAGCCTCTTTCTTTATATCAGGCCTTATGCTCAGCACGTGCAGAGATCTGTGCCACATACTTCTGTATGTCCAGGGCCTGCCTCAGTAAACAAAACATGCTCAGAAAATGTTTGTTGAATGAATAAACAAATCAGGGACGTGGCTTAGCATCCTTGAGAGCACAATACAAGGCACAGTTACCTTTGTAACTGTAGAGCTCACAGACTTGATGTCAGTGTTGAATAAATGAATTGAGTCCAGTTACCTTTGGATTCTAAAGGTACCTTTGGATACGTCTGGATTCTAAAGAAACAATTTGGCTTACCCTGAAATCCCAGCCTCAGATGCTGCAGTAACGGTAGTGCTCAGTTCTAATGCTCAGAATGGCCAGACATTTTTTATTCTCGTTATTCTCCCTAATTTCACTAATAAAGTCTACATAAGTAACCAGTTAGGCATCTTGCTACAAAAGGAAAAAATTAAGGCATCAAGTCCACTTGATGACAGGTTCACTGAGAGCATACATTTGGATGAGGTCATGCTCATGCAAAGTACAATTTCCATGAAAGATCAGAAGCCTAACACCTTCCTGGTAGAGAAAATTAGATTTTCATGGGAAGTGATATGTTACATAGAAAAATTATGAAACAAACCTGACCCTAACATGCCCTGACCTTCAAAATCTGAGCAAGACGTGTTTAAACACAGCCAAACACAAAACAAAAATATTATTTCTTGGTTCATTAGTTGATAAATCCATTTGAAGTGTATAAGTGAGCACATTTCTGAAGCTAATCCAAGATAGAAAACTAGAATTTCCATGGCTACAGTGAGTTCATCAGGGAGACGAAAAGGCCATAGGGATGTTGCTAGCAAAATATCACTTGTGGAGTCTAATTTTCTCTGGCACTAAAGGCAGTTTTTCTATAGAGAAGCAATTTAATAACAATATGAAGGAACGGTGACTCTGGCAGAGCAGGTCCCTGATAAGTAGGTTTTGACAGTTGGAATCAAGAGCCCTTTTCATTAAGCTCAAAGTGACGGCTTTTACCCACCATTTTTGACATGTCTACAACTTCCAGACTCTCCGATCTGACATGCTCTTTCTCATAAAATTCCAGATGCCTACATGTCTTATTCCTACAATCTTCCAAAATTCTTTCATTAAGAATGTACGTAACGAGGAGAAATAGAAGGTGGGCCTTGTGAGAAACATACTTGACTTCCTCTTAGAACTTGTCTCCTGCTTTATCAGAGAAGGCAGAAATTACCTAGCAAGAACTTAAGAAATTTTGCAAGACCTTAGCATTGAACTGAAGGTCTGACGTTATCAACTTAAGTGCCTTTGAGATTCTTCCATCAAATGAAAATAATTATGACAGATTACTACGTCTAGTATCCCGTTAAAATCCTCTTTTGATGTGCTCCTGGTTCATTTCCATATATGCCTGCAGCTTCAACTACAGTGGCTGGCGATAGGGTGATGGTGGCAGGAAGCAGTGGAGACGTGAAGCACTTGAAGTTCCCAATCTCCCAGAAAAGCTTCTAAGTCTCAGATAGGGCTGGTTTGTTGCAAAACCATACCTGTACGTTGTTTTCTCTATTTCTTCTCCTTTCTCATCAGCAAGCTTAGTATTTCCTGCACAAATGCAGCAGCAAGCTGAAAAGTAAAGACACCTATTCATTTTATTCATACACTTGCTGAATGTATAATTTGTACCAGAGCATGTCCTTGTCACTGCTGGGAAATTGCTGTTATGTTTACACTATGGACCCTGCCTGTACTGGATAGGAGATACCTCTGAAATTTTCACATGAATGACTATAAGTATTAGTGTTTCCATGAAGAGAAATGGGGAAAATCAAGGAAGGGAAAGTTTTGATAGAAAAGCATTATATGCATTTGGTTTAGTCATGTACTGTGATTGAGTTGCCAGCATATTGTCCAGGTGGAAGATATTTGGACATTTAGACCAGTTGTACCATATTTTGGGAATGTAGGGAGATTATGACAAAAAGTAGTGTAAAGCCAGAAATGAATTGGACGTACAAGGTAGAAATGCACTTGTGTAAGACATAGCTGCCTCTTCTGAGCCTCTCAGCCTTACCCGTCCTGGGAACTTCCGCTGTTTACTCACTCCCGTCACCAATGCAGGATATGTATCCATGGAGGCCCAAGCAGGCCGTCTTTTAAAAGCAGCCACTTTATGCCTGCAGTCTCTGTCTCCTCCCATCTCTTCTTGATTTGGGGAAATGCCACCACAGGGAGTGCATCTGGCTGCCCAAGAGGCTGCCAAAGGAGTTGGATGACCTTACCTGGAATGCAAGGTAGTTAATTCCTCATAGTGCCATCTTGGCCAAAGAGAGGCAAGAGAAAATGGACGGGTCAATTTCTTCTTCATTCCTCCTTCCAATGAACATTCCTGAAGATATACTGCGTGACCAAGTGTAGGCACCTGCCAAACAATAGGAATTGTCTCTTTGTGGCTTATTGTGAAGAAGTAACTGGCGTGGTAATGCTTCACATTTCCTAAGTTCCCATCCTTGCCTGCATTGCTTCCCTTTCCTCCCACCCTCACTGCCCTGGGATTTGATTCCCAAAGAGAGCATTAGTACTAAAGCCTTACCTGAGGCTCTTCTTTCTCTGTCTTAGAATATGGAACACACACGTAATGCAAACGTGGAGGAGCACCATGACAAACAGTGTAGGCTTTCTTCTGAAGCGGAATTTAGTGATTATTTTGGAAGAATAGTATGAAAGCAGCCTGAAGACAAGGAGCAAGCAGTCTCATTTTACTCTTTCCCTAAATGGCCCCCATTGGGCAGGGCTAGGGGAGGAATTTTTACTGGATATTGAGGTTTCCTTTTAGATACGGTTATGGAGTGGTTATTTCTAGAAATCCTAAGGGAGCTACTAATTTATTTACTCATTTTTAGATTCCACAAATATAAATTGTTTATTAGGGCTAAGGGTATCACTGAAGATGTACAGATGACATAGTTCCACCCGTGAACTGGAGTTGACAGTCCAGATGATGAGACTGACTAAAGAGAGACTTGTAATAATGCTGGGTGGAGGCAGGCTCACAGACTGGTAGAAGCCAGGCGGGCACCTATCTAAGGCTGGGTGGTAGGTAGAGAACCAGAGAAGGCTCCTGAAAGAGCTGAGCTTTGAAAGACCAAGGAGTTGTCAAGATAAAGTAGAGAAGGTAGGACATTTCTAGGTGAGGGAGTGAACCCAAGGGAGTACTGGGCAGAGCATTCCAGGCACAGAAAACAACAGCCAGAAAGGGCCTGGGGCTTATTAATTGTGTGTGCTTGGGCACATCACTTGACCTGTCTGAGCCTCATTGTTCCTATCTGTAAAGTGGGGAAAATAATAGTGTTGTGTAGGGACGTTGTGAAAATTACATGAGACACTATGTGATCAATGTTGTGACATATAATAGGTGCTTACAGGTAGTAGGTTTTTTTCTTTTAAGTCTTTAAACTAGCCAAACCACTTTCTCTCTACTATTATGGAGAGGAACCTGAAACAAATAGCAAGGACTGAGAAAATCCTACAAATTTCAGAATTTAAAAACAAAATTGAAGATCAAACTGTAAGAAGCTCAAAATCTCAAAGCTTTTGACTAAAAACAATTCCTCTCTACATTTAAAATCTTCATTTGTTTGCTTCATTTTGAGGCAAATTTTGCTCTCATCTATTAGTTTCTTCTACACCTCCACCGTGAGGACTCAGCCTGTGTGTGAGCCTGTTTGAGGTCTACAAAGTCATGAGAATCAAACAGCCTCTTCATTGCCAAAGAAAAATGTGTTGCCAAACCCAAACACAGTTTGAATTCACATGAAGTATCCTTTAAATTCTGAGGAATTTTTCAATTTGGCTGAAAAGACTAGTATCCTCTCAAAATTCAATAGTTACCAAAGAGAAAAATCCAGCAAAGCAAGTCTTTTTTTACTTCATACATCAGGACAAAGTAAAATGGCTGTTTAACAACAAAACCATAATTCATACCAGATCATTCAAAATATGTTCGCACATATTTAAATCTTATAGATAAATCTAATTTAGAAAAACATGTGATTCTCAGTTCCTCACTTACTCATCGTTCTCTTTTGTTTGCTTGTGAGTATGCGTCATTCCAACCCCTCAGAACAGCCCTGTAGAATTTAGAAAGCTCGGCTCTGCTACATGTTTGCTAAGTTCCATTTCTCATGCAATGGCAGCAAGATGGGGACCCGAGAACATGTTCATGGTGGCTTGTTCCCAACAAATCACAGTCTGGAGAGGTCCCTGGCAGAACTATAGACAAATAATTCCAAGGTTCATTTGGAAGAAGAAAACTTTATGGAAATATCAAGCCCTCTTGGCAGTCTGTAGCCACTGACAACCTTGATTTGGTTCCCATAAACTCATGGAGCATCAGGTCCAACATTCTGGATTTCACATGAGTTCCCAAAATCCATGAATGTGGATGTAAATAATTCCCTGGTTTCAATACCTTGGGGCACATAATGCCTTCAGGAACAGTGAAAGGTTTCTCTTTTGCTCCTCTGAAGGATCCAGAGAAGATTCTTAGATTTCTGGCAGTGGACTTTCAGAACCCAGTTTGGAGCTGCTATAGCCTCAGTCCAGTTGTCCACTATCTCTCTATTGCCGTCATGTCTAGAATGTGAAGGGTACACTAGCTAAGGAAAGCTGCCCAGAGAGCCTTATCTGATGCTTGGCGACTGCAAAACAAGACAAGATCTTTGAATCACGTTCTTCTCCTTGAATTGTAATTCAATGATCAACTAGTTAATTCTAAAACATATCTATCGAGTACCTACTATGTATCAAGTACTGAGGAAGGCCTTAGGGATACAATGTTGAAACGATATAGCTCCTGATCTCAAATAGCTCTTGAAGAAGACAGATAAGCAAATAGGCATTGACAATACTTTTTGAAAGTCCCATGAAAAATAAAAGCATCATGTTTTCTAGAGGTAAGAAGGAGGAGTGTCTAACTCAGAGCTGGAATTAGAAAGAGGATTGGGAATGGTTTCCCTGATGAAGTGCCCTTTCAGCTGAGAGGATGGGTGGGTGTAAGCCAGAGAAACAAGGCGAGATTGTTCTAGGCGGAGGAGAAAACATATGCAAAGGCCCAAAGGAAAGACAGAAAATGGCCCATTCAGAAACTTTAAGTACTTCAATATGGCTGTGGTGTACAGTGCAAGAGGAGAAATGTTGAGAGCTGAAGCCAAAGAGATTTAAAAAAAGAGAGTCAGAGTATACATGATATTTTATGCTCATGCTTGTTAAGTTTGAGCTTTGTCATAAGGATGATGATAAATTTTTGACGTGTTTTAATCATGCAAGAGAAATGATCAAATGTCCACTTTATAAAACTCTGGATGAGGGAGGAAGGAGTCAGGAAAATCAGTTAGGAGTCTGAGGCAATGATCAAGGAACCAATGACAGGAACCTGAACTGAGACGCTGGCAGTGAATTTGGACAGAAATAAATAAACGTCAAGGATGAGTAGAATGTAGATACAGCAGATCTTGGATTATTTGTGAGGAATAATGGAGGCAGAGGAGTCAAAGATGACACCTAGGTTTTTGAATTAGGCAACTAGGTGATTGGGTTCATTGAGAAAGGAAGAATAAGGGAAGCAGGGCAGAAAGTAATGAGTTAGTTCCAACATGCTAAGTTTGGGGTACCAGAAGCGCATTCATATAAAAGAAAATTCTAGTAAGGATGTGGAAATACAGATTTCAATTTTGATTCTCCACCCCTAGAGTGGTAGGTGATGTCATAAATGAATGACATCACCAAGGACTGTGTGTGTGGCACGAGAGGTAATATCCCAACAAATATCACAGGAAGGTCTGTGGTTAAGGGATCAGTCAAGAAAGAAGAGCCATGATCAGGCAGAGTGGGGAAGCTCCCTGAGAATGGAGAATCACAGAAGCCAAGGACGAGTGTTCACCGAGGAGAGTTTGATCAACTATGTCAAATGCTACAGAGTGGCTAAGTAAGATAAAGTCTGAAAAGTGTTCATCTGACCCGGTGTAATTTCAAGCCAAGAAGACAAGCCTTGATCCAAAAGTAGTGTCTCAGCAGAGTTTTGATTCACTCTAGACTAGAGCTCACCAGCTTTTTACAATAGCAACCAATTCTTCACATTTCTTATTATTCTCAGATGAAATATACCACTCAGTCACAGAGATCCAAGTGTCTTCAGCTTCAATGTATTAAGGACAAATCTGAAAACGGAACTTTCCTAAACAAAAAGGGCTTGGAGTATTTTTGTTTTTCTTCCTCTATCAAGTAGTGAGCCAATACTCGGGCAGCCTTTACTCAGGAATGTAAGAAATTCATGCTCTCTTCAGGGTGCGGTATTCCAGACAGCTTTCCTGCTGTGTGTCCTTGAAGTGAAGGTCAAACAGAGTTCACGGGAAATGTAAATTAAACAAGTGTTTCTACATTAGCATTTGTTTTATTCCAGAAATATCCATTTTTAATGAAGAAAATGTCTCTTCAACTTTGCTTTTAAAAGATATTGTGGACAATTTTATTATTCACTTTGATGTGATCTTTGATTTAGAGTTGTATAAGACATACTCAGTATTATTTGCGATATCTCAATTGGAAAAATAAAATGTGATCGTCCCAGAAGTTTCAAAGCTTGCCATAAATATCTCCCCATCATTTAGCTAATTTTGAAGACTTAAAATGTATAAGCGGTGAGTGTATTGCTTACATCTATTCTAATACGGAAGCCATTGGGGTAAAATCGGTACTCTCTGCTAGCTCAGCATGGAACAGTCCTCAACAACTGTGGGAGCATATGAAAAATATATCTTCTGCCAATTTCTTTTTAACTTAAATCCCAGTTCTTTTGACAGTAGATGATCTTTATCTATTTGGGATGGCTTGGGAAATGGCTGAAGGGTCCAAGTTGTCATAATGAATTGGAATCACTCAAAACACCGAGTAATTCCATGCAGCTACATAAGCTTGAAATCCAACCTTTGAAAGAGTCAGTAAGAACACTAGCTACATTTTTGGGAGTAAGAGTGATGGAACAATTCTGTCTTCCACAAGGTCCTCATGTAGCCAGCTTTCCACGAGGTAAAGCATAACAATAGGCCAATGAGAGAGCATCGAACCCTTCTATTTAGTTTACTTTAGTTTTGTTTTTCATGACAGTTTGGTAACTTTTCCCCTTCTCTCAGAGTGAACTGCTCAGGAATTCAGATCAACATTTGGAACAAACCAAAACATGGGTATCAGCCTTAACTGTCACATCCCTTAAAGCCTGCAGTTAATCAAACACTAGTACTAATAACAGCTGCCATTTATTGCGTGTTTATTGATCATATCAGTTACCTGGCTAGGCACTTGATGTTAACCATCTCATTTAATTCTAACCACAACTCTATGAGGGGGTTTCTATTACACACATTTGATAAATGAAGCACCCGAGACCTAAAGAGATTGAGTGATGTCACACCTATTCACTCAGTGTGTATGTGGCCTTGCCAGGATTCAGTCTCTGACTCCAGAGCCCAAGATCTCAACCATGGTACAGATTGCCTGTATTTACAGAAACTCCGCTGCCTCTTCCATCCACTAAACAATAACTGAAAAATGTAGATATTCATAGACATGTACAAATTCGCATAAAATACCCAGCCTCTGCCGTGTACCGAGATGCCTACAAATACTTTTTCTTCAAAACTTCATTCTGGCTATTTCCTTGACCCATGAGGTGAAATTAGGTTACTGCAGACTGATTTATTATGCATTTTTTCCTATCCAAGAATAAGAGAAACTTTCCTTTGATGGTGTAGAAAGTGTGTGGAAAAACTTAACGTGACTGCCAAAACAGCCCTTCCTTCAACATACTTGGCTTTTCCATGGGAGTTTGCCCCATTCATTCTTTCAGCAAGCCTGTTTTCTAAGGCTGCATTGAACTCAGCCCTAAACTAGGCTCTGGGGCAGACACAAAAGAGGTTGGAGACTGCATCCCTGCTCTTAGTGAAGATAGTGGCTTAGCTGGGAAAAAGAATTAATTTACACGAGGTCTATGTCCATGTACAAGCTCCAGATAATGCACTCCAGACTACGCCTTAAGTGCCAAGGACAGCAGAGAAAGGAGGAAAATTACCCTTATTTCCAGATATACAAGCCCTTCCTTTCTCATCTTAAGACACAGATGAAAGGGGATGCATTTGCCTTTGATTTCCTGACCACTGGTGCTTTCATGTCTTTGCAGTTTGTGAGGTTTCTGTACACTGGGAAGCCATAAGAGGGCCACTAATAGGATTAGTAAGTAGCAACAGGTGGAAAGTGCTTAGGATCCATGTTCTGATGGATGTGACAGATACCAGCCTTCAGCCGCGTGGTAAATAGAGTTTTATGCTTTTCTGCAGGTCTCTACACAATTGCACATCAGTTCAAGCAACTGCATTAGCACAGGAGTGCCGAGTCGTTCCAAAGAGAGAAGAGTGAGCCAATAGCTACAGCTGGCAGCCAGGGAAGGGAAAATGTGCTCTGAGCACTCAGTGAGTCACCCAAACAGACAGGAGGAAGCATGTGCCAATTGAGCCTGGAGGCTGCGCCAGAGCTCACACACTCAGCAAGGTCAGGATTTGAATAGAAGGTGAGTTCTTGAGAGTCAGGCAGTAGCTCTAGGTGACTGGGCAGGTGGGCTTAAAAGCCACTTGTGCCAGTACTAATTTCCCACGGTTCTGAGGGTCCAGGGGCTTGCTTCCTAAGAAGGCATAATGCTGAAGTCCAGCAGAGGCGGCTGGCCATTGAAGGCCCCACCCACTTGTCCCAAGCTCACACCAGGTGTACCATATTTGATACTTTTGGTTGCAAGCCACATTCCAGCTGCAGTTACTTCTTCCTGGTCACTTCCTCCTGTGGTTTAAAATGCCACCAATTTCATCCATATGCTTCACGTTTGCTCTCTAGCTACTTATTTGAAAGAGGAGTGTGTTGGATAAGTTTATAATACAAGAAGTTGTGTCCAGTAATCTGTTTACGATGAATAAGTCTAATAGAATTACTCTCAAGGAAAAATAAAACAGTTTATTGTGAGCAACATGGAAACAAAATAGGGAAGTGTATGGCTGTCAACACAGCATAATGAACCCATCCTTTTCCCCAAGAGAAGGCAGGTGGGTCATGAGAGAAGTTGCACTTGTCCTATGAAGGGAAGAATTCTTTTCCCTCCAACACGCAGAGGAGAAAAGAATGCATTTACACTACTGCTTTCCCACTTTTAAGCATAAGAATCCCCCGGAGAACTTATTAAGGAGGCAGTAAGAACCTTCATAGATTCTGCTTCAATAAGATTCTGTATTTTTAACAAGTACCCAAAGTGATTTTGATACAGTTCTGAGAACCTACTTGGTAGAATGTTGTCTTTCACTATATGAGGCCACTAAGGAAGTGGCATTCAAGGACATTTGGCAGGACCTTCTACCCAACTATTATCTTCCTTCTAAAACACTTAGCTGCTTCTCCTTTGGATCTTGAAGACTTTTGTGTTTTCTGGTATATGACGGAAGTGTGGAAGGGAGTGGGAGACATGCCTCAAACCATTATAAGATAGACTTTTATATCTTAAATATAAACGATTATTTTTATTACTCTTTTAAGAGATTAACTCTTTTAATCTTTTAAGTTAAAAGATTAAAGTGACCACCAGCTAACAGTCTGCAGACAGGAATCTGGAGGCTGGGAAAGGAAGTGAGGATGATGAGGGAGGTGAGACAGACCTGAAACTTTGTCAGGGCCACAGCCTTTTACCTGAGCGGGAAAGTACCTTGAGTTTTGTCGTTTCAATCGTTCTTTCATTCAACATATAGGTATTGAATGTCTGCTTTGTGAAAAGCGCTATGCTCGATGCTCCAAAAGGATATCAAAATGAACAAACAAAAAAAATTGGCTACAATTATATCAGAATGAATAGAAAACTTGCTACTTACAATCACAACTTGAGCTGTTCCTGCCCCTGGGAGAGTGAGCAGCATGCCTGCTCTCCAGTGTGATGGACTCCTTTACTTGCCCCCTTGACCAGTTCCTTTGCTTTGGATATGACAGATGAGGCACCTAGGATGTGGTTGGAAATGTGCTGGCAAGAAAAGAGATCGTTAAATTAGTCTGAAAGGAACGTAAGGAGAACTGGGTGCATGGGGACTTATGTGCCATTGGAGACATGCCAACAGGACAGGGATCTGGTGTTCAGGGCCCATCCCATTGCATAGGGGAGTCCCATGGAGAAATGTTAGCACAGGAGAAATTCCTCAGTCAAAGGGTGCTGAAACGACGCTGAAGAAAAGCAGTATCAAGTATCCAACTTTTACTACATGGTGCCAAAAGGATTCTAGGTAGTACTTCAAAATAGTCCTCTGCTACAGATGCTCCATCTGAGCAACATTACGAGGGAAATCAAAGAAAAGGAGCAGTTTCTAAGTCTAGATTGGTGCAGAGCTAAGATCAGATCTTTAGGAGATGAGACATGTACGAGATTCAGACAAATAGGAAATGGGAAGGAGGGTAACTAATTACGGGAATGAGGCTATAAACCTCCCAGAATTTGTAGGAATCGGAAGGGAAGCCCTGAACTTCCCAGAGGATGTAACACACTTTTATTTATGTTTCAGTATGCAGAGTAAACTCAGCTGACAATCAAGACACATAAAAGAATGTAAGATGTCTTTGCATCTCTACATTCCTCCCCCACTTCCCACACATATAAGCCCAGTCTTTAAGAATATCACTCTTGAGAGTATGAGATACATACACAATGTTAGATGCAAGATGGCTCTATGTGTATGAGAAAAATGGGGCGTGGGGGGAATGAGAGTTCTGGTCTATGTGTAAAATAGGAAATAAGAGACCAGAGGCCTTCTAGCAGGAGTGATTAGGAAGGATTCATGGGCAAAATGAGGTCTGAGCTCAATGCTAAAGAATAATTAGAGTGGCGACGGTCTATTGAAATTGAGGGGATAATGTATGAGCAATGCAGGAAAGTTCAAACCACAGTGGAGGGTCATTAAGAAGGACAATTTGGGTACAAATGAGAAAGGACAAATGAGGGCTAGTCTGCAGAATGGACTGCAAATACCTCTGAAAAGCATGGAAAGTTCTGAGTCAACTGGGGAGGACCTGACTGGACAGGACTGGAGATGTGCAGAGTAGGGCTGCTGATGCTGTGTGTGGTCTTGTAGACAAATCCATACACATACTCCAAGGCTCTCCTGGGCCTTAGTCTCCTGAGGACCCATCTGGAAAGATAATTATGCATCCAGTGCCTTGCAAACAATACTCAGCTCCATCCAGGTCTCTATGGAAGCTCAGAGGTCATAAGGTCTGCAGTCCTGACTTCTATTATTTAAGAGACTTACCAACATTCAGCCCATTATCCCACAAATGTTTCATGCCTGAGATTCCCACAGCCTCATTGCCTCATTAAAAAGAAAGTGTAGATCCTCGAGAGTAGAGTGGGCCGTGGATGTGAGCAGCAATGCCTTCCAGCTCTGCAAGTTCACATACCACAGTAGTGTGTGGCCAATACTTCTTTCTGTCAGGCCACCAAGGAAAAAGTATGACTAATTGCAGTTGGAAAGAACAATGATCCAGAAACACCCTTTGTAGGAGGACCAGAGCTGACTGTGAGGTTTTGCTCTCAAGAGACAGAGCATATTTCCAGGCTCCTCATTGTGCTGTGCTTCTAGGAAGCCATGAGCTTATTACCAGGGCTCTGCTTCTTGATTCTCCTCTGCGTTTGCAGAACTGTTCCTTCCCCTTCCTCTGTTCACAGTGTTGACCTCTAGGACACCCCTTGCACCCAATTCTCATTTCAAAGCCACCCTTCCAAGAGTTAAAGGGAAACTGGTCAGGTAGAGTATATGAAGCAGCCTCTTTTAGGAGTCCATACCACATAAATTCGTGTTCACACAAGAGCTCAAATCCTCATGTCACAGAGTTCGACAGAAAGACAAGAGGAAATGCTAAGCACAGCCTTTCTCAGACTTCTGCTTGTGGAAAACAAGGCTGTGGGGTGGATCAGAGGGTGAAGAGCCAGTCGACCCAAATAGTATTGAAAGACGAGAATGGAAATGCTGGGAAAGGGGACTATGAGGAACTCACAGGGAGTCGAACTCTCTAGGTAAAGCAGGAAGAACAGGAAGAGTTTTAGAAAAGATTTTAAGACACTAAAATCTTTGGTGCTTTGGGGACTTGTTCCCTCCCCGAGGCTGAAGCTGTCCTTGGGCTTCCTCATTGCACCACTTCATGCGACTTCTTTTCTCCTGTCATGCCCCATCAACCTCGCCAACCTAGTGTCCCACTTCCTCAGGGCCTTGCATCTTTCTCAGATCCAAACAGGCTGTCCAACTAAGTTGTTCTGTATTTCCAGGACACCCAGACATGTAGGACCTCATTGTGTTGGTCATTAACACCATTCACTAAATAGTTCTAATTCTTCCCCTTGGGTGTATGGCAGAATTGCATTTTCCTGGCCTTGAAGGGTTGTGTATTTTTCTCTTGCTTTTCCCTCTGCCTGTTGAAGTGGCTCTGTGATTCACTTTGGCCATCAAATAAGAAGTGACAGGTAGCACTTCCAGACAGAAGCTGCAAGAACCTGTGCATGATTCACCATCTTCCATTTTGCTGCTTCAGTCACAGTAAAGCATGTGTTCAGATGGAAACTTCACCAGCCAGAGGCCCTGGGTAACTAAGATGAGCAGGGCCTTCCCTCCCACCCCCCACTTGTTCATGTTGGAGATGAAGCATGAAAAAGAAAGAAACCTCTGCTATTGCCATTCGCCAAAATTTGGGGAGTTGTTTATTACTACAGCATAACTTGGTCTGTCCAAACTGATGTACATATGTGTTATAATAGTGATTTTTCTGAAATCAGGGGCCAAATGCATGTGATTTTCATGTATTAGGGACTATAGGTGCATGTTTGTGTGTATGTCCGTGTCCGCATCTTGTGTGGAAGGGAATGTATTTTGAGACAAAATAAGAAGACACAGCCCTGACAGTAAAAAGAGATAGTTTGTTGTATACTGAGGGGTATTAAGTTGCACAAAATTGTCTATAAGTCATCTCAAGTAGCTCTGCTTTCTGAGATAGTTATTCTTATGACCTCCTTTGCTCTACACTGTGCCTCTTCCTTTTGTCACTGTTTGCCTTCAGAGCGCTCCATGCCACCACAATCTACAACTTTCTACTTCTAATCTTCTTCTTGGAATTGTGAGTAAATTAAAGTTAATTAAATTTGAACGAGAGACAAAAAGGTACCTCTGTGAGTAAAACAGTTAAGGTGTCACACATAAATATTTAAATTTGAATGAGAGACAAAAGGATACCTCTGTGAGTAAAGAAGTTAAGGTGTCACACATAAATATTCTGAAATAATAATAAAATTAAGACTTCATAATTCTTTATGATATATTAAGGACTTTTACATTTGTGACCACGTTCAACTTTTACACCCCCGCATTTATTTTAGCTTTTTAGAAAATACGTCTGCATAATGCCATAATCATGTCTCTCTTCCTATTATGAAGGTTACCAGATAATGACAATCTATGATGGAGTGCAAGCTTTTCTCAAGTATTTGCACTCCCCCTTCCCTGTACAAAAACTTTAATTCCTTGCCTCTGCATGTGATCTGCAGTGCCTCCAATAAGAGGAATATACATCCTGCCCCGTTGAAATGGGCTTGGCCGTATGACACGCTTTCACCAATGGAATGAGAGCAGATGTGGTGTAAACCATGTCTGGAAGAGTTAACAGACTTCGTCATTTTCCTTCAGCTCTCTCACTCTTTCCACCGCCAGACTGTACCAAATAATGACTACTCCTGAAGCCTGGGTTCCAGCAGGAGAAGACACATGGAGTGGAGCTGGGCAGATGTCCAGCAGCCATAGCCAACTCATAGCCAAAGACCACATTATGAGTAAGGAATAAATGTTTGTTGTTTCAGCCCACCGAGATTTGGAGATTGTTATCACAGCAAAAGCTGATTAATATATATTCTAACCAGGATATTACAAAGAGTAATAAGCATTCTATCTTTTAGAATGTATTAACCCTTAAAGTACTTTTACATTTCACTGTAGAGAGACCTGGCAGTCACGGGAGGAGCATGGGCTTAGGTATCAAGCAGACCTGCCACCTATGAACTGCTTCACCTTGGCACATGTGAAACACTCTCCCCATAACATTCTTTCCTCTGCAGATCTTTCTATCAGAGGCAATTTTTCCCTTACGGCCCACTCAGAATCCTGTTAACCAACTTGAACTCAAAAAGACTACTGACTGCAATAGTTTGAAATACATTATTATGCTAGGACCAGTGAGTTCATTATGATACTTAAAAAAAGGAAAGCCAAAAATAAACTCATTAGTCACCAGTGAGATAGCTTTGGCACTAAATCCTTATTGGAAACTAAAGGGAAAAAGTAAACGCTTAAATATTTCAGTATGAACTGTATTAACTGTTTTTCAGTAAAACAAACAGTACAGGTTGCTGAGAGAGAGTTCTTTTCAGAAGAATTCCAGGTAATAAATATTGAATGATTATTTATTAATCCTATACAATCACAACTTTACCACCCCTAATAAAATAACGGTTTCAGGAAACTATTATCAACAGATTCTAAAACCATTTGGTGAAATATTGATGAGGAGCTAGATATTTGCAGGATGACAAATTATTACTGCATGGATTAGTGGCTAGTAATTAAGGGGAAATACAACTTTATACTGGAGGGGCAGGCTGTCCATGTCTTCATCTCTAAAGGTGAACAACCAGATAAAATGTGCCCCTCATGTGATGTAATATGAAGTTCAAACAACACCTATGAAGGATTTTTGTGAGAAAAGATAAACCTGAGTCTAATCAAGCCTTTAGATCTAACTTCAAGTTTATAGAAAATATGGCAAATATTTAAGTTTATAGAAAAATGGCCATTTTATATAATCTTGCCTTATTTTTCTGTGTTAATTAATATTATTAAGTTGTATTTATTTGTTTATTCTTACCATCCATCTGCCCCTTTGGAATATAAGCTCCGACCGCACAGGGGCCTAATATAGCCAACTCACCACTCTGTTCCCAGGTTCTGTTACTATGTTCGGCACATATTAGGCATTCAGTACAAATGTGTTAGACACACAGATGAATCAACAAATAATTTTAACTTTGTCAAACTTATTTCCACATCTGTGAAATAAGATGACAATATTTGCCTTAGACTGTAAGCAGAGAGCCTTGTCCGGTTTCCGGTGCACTGTAGATTCTCAATAAACGGCATCCATTTCCTTCACGTATATCATGCATCGCATCCACAGTAACAGTAGGTTATACAGCAGGAATTATTGCCCCTACTTGGCAGAAGAGAAAATTGAGGCACAGAAAGCTGACTCTCACCTGGACTTTCAACTGGGTTATACAGCCAACCACACCCAGAAAGACCTGGCTTTTATTCTTGAACACCTTGCAATGATACTCACCCAAGTTTGCAAGCTTCCTCACCCTTACCTCCCCTCCCACTCTGGGCCTGCTCATCCCTGGACCTGTGGGAGGTGCTGGGCCTGCAGACTCCAGGCGGGCTGCCTCTCAGTACGAAGTTGGTGCTCCATGTTCCAAGGGCCCAGTTAAGCGCTGCCTAGCGGGCCGCATAGTTCTCCTCAGCACAGAAGATCTGCTGTCCTTGTGCCAATATGCTGCTTTACAAGCACAGGAAAACTTGTGAAATGTGTTCTGCACCTTCTCAGGAAGGGCTGTGGTGGAGCAGCCCAATCAACCCACCGCATCAGACAATGCCCAGGGGCCAGGCTGTGGAGCTGAGCGTCCTCACACACGCACAGTTTCAAAGCTGAGCAATGAAGTCAACGTCTCAAGCAGTTGTGCAGCTAATGATGCATCTAGGCTGCCTTAAGCTACATAGCCAGCGGTCCTTTAACTTACATTGGGTGTTAAGTTAAACATCCAGTGAGGGGAATGTGTCCATGTTTACTTTCTTTGACAGAGTCACTTTTTATGCCACTAATTTCAGAGGTTATTTTCACTCCTAGTGCCTCCTTGACTCTTTGGTGTAAACACAGCCAATAAGCCTTGCAGCCACTGAAATTGTACATAATCTTTCTTTCCAAACAAATCTCATTCTCCGGCTCTCCATGCACCTTACACTCCAGTCGTGCTGCACCGCTCACTGCTTCCTGAACATTCTTCCAAGCACTCCCTTTGCCAAACCCTTGCTGCCTTGAATAATCCAGCACAGAGATGGTCCATGGTATTTATTTATTCATTTACACGTTCCACCTCGGACCTAAAGCTTTGATGTGGCTGGTTTGCAGAACGAGGCAATAAAATATCTGTGTGTAGAATTTTGAATAGCAATAATTTTGTCAAAGGGAAGTGAAATGTTGGGATGTTTCTTTTTGTGGGCCTCATCTCCAAAAAAACGTTGCAGAGGGTGGGATCCACGGGGCTGATTCTGTGGTCTCTGCTATCAAGACGTGTCTGCTACAAGTCTCCACAGCCTTATGATACTTCAGGTGTGGTCTCCTTAAAATCAGCCCCAGCAGGTCGCGCATTCTGTAGAGTGTTGAAATAGCCCTGAAGTAACTATGGATGCGGCTCTGTTCACAGCTGTGCTTGCTTCCTCTCTCCGCTGTCTTAGAAGCCATTCCCCTCTGCTTCTCTCACGTGAATCCCATTCTGCTGTGGGAACCAGCACTCACCATGGTCTCACAGCTTTGTCAATGAATCCTCACTGGTCGTTTCCTTTAGAAAAGAAAAACAATAGCAGTGACAAACACAGACCTATTTTAGGCAGATGTGATATATTTTTGATGAACTACAGGTAGTTAAGTGTTTCATCTTGGCATTTGGAGGAGATTTAAACAAAAGGCAAGGGGATGCTTGCCTCCTTCTGAAGTAACTGAAGCTGGTTACTGCTTGAAAGTAACCGCTTACAGTTTTATAGGGCTCAAAAGATTGTTTTAGATTCTTCATTTCTATATATAACCACAACACTGAGAGTTTGACGTCATCTTGTATTAAGAAATTCTATAGCAAAAAGGAAGGAAAATTTAAGCAATCTGATAATTTGTCACATTTCTTAGGTTCATTACAATATGTGAATACAGACTAACATTTATGAAACAAAAATTGAAATGTAATTTGACAAGGATAAGTATGATTCTGAGGACAAAAGAATACAAAATTGGAAGCTAATATTTGCCTCAGAAAAGTTGGGTGTTACGGTAGCCATATCCATAGGCAAGATGTAAGGAAACCTGTGTGCAAATGTAGTGTGTGCTGCAGGCATTTAGTAAAAAGTTGTTGAATTTAGTTCAGCCTATCTGTCATTAAGCAGTTATTGCGCACCTGCTGGGATGAAGACAATAGACGCAATTTCACATAAATTGCAATTTCAAAATCTAATAGTTGTGTGCCTAACAGGTATTCAGTTATGAAAAAGAAGTATTATTAGCAAATACTTTGACTATATTAATATAATTTTAAACAGAGATTTAAATCTCAACGTCTGTCATCTGTATCTGATATTTAATATGTTGACAATTTTAGGAAAATCCAGAACTAAAGGTAGAATTCTTTCAACAAGTTATAAATAATCATATTGGAGACATGGAGTAACGTAACTGCATTAGCTTTTTTATAGTTCTCATTGCCCCTGTTCTATTTCCCCTCCATTCTTCCTTCTACATAGTTACCAAAGCAATCTTCCTAAAACACTAAGTTGACATTAATCTCCTATTTTAAACTCTTCCATGGCTCCCAATGATCTACAAGTCAATTTCATTTTTAAATCCTGACATACAAGTTCCTTCACACTCTGGCTGCCACTTAACCCTCTTGTCCCATTTTCCTCCACTCCAACCCCTCCCACCAAAATATCTTTTTTCCAGCTCGCTAAAGCTCATAATTTCCAAGTTTTCTGATGGGGTTATCAATTTACCCATATCACAATCTGGAAGTAGTGAAAAACAAAATTTATTTATTCTGGCTTTTGATATTAGGTAGAGGGAAAAAACAAGTTTTAAATCTTCACCTTGGTTCAGTTATTCTTACGTAGTTGAGTCTCGGCTTCGATGACTCCAGTAGACGCAGCCACCTTTCAGATAGCTAAGTGCCGGGGATTAGGGGAGAATTTACACACTATCCCATTAGACAGACTCTCAATAAACTTACGTGGCTGTCAGATAGATAGACACTCAGTAAAATTTTTGACGAATAAATAAAAGGTTGAAAATTATAGAGAACGTGATTGTGGCCTAAATGAATAGGAGTTTATTTGTTTTTACATGACAAAAAAAATCTAAAGATAAGCAGGTGTTATTTTTATTTTACCTGCTCAGTGATAATATGAATGAGAAGCTCTTTCGGGTTTTCACTCCACACTCCTAGCATATTGGCTTTTCATTCTCATATTTCCAGCTTCATGGACAAAGGAAGGATGCTTGAGGCATATGTTCACATTCAAAGAAAGAAGAGAGGGGTGGTCCCAGACATATTCCTATCTTATCAAGATAAGAAATTATTATACAAACGCCACTCCCCACCCATGCGGATTCCACTTATCTCTCATTGGCCAATACTTGGCCAAATATTCACCCCAGTCTGTAAGGGAAGTATAGAAAGAGAGTTTCTGGCTTTTCAGCCTCACTAATGGCAAGGGAGAAGGGAGTTCGGCACTGGATGTTGGTGTCTTTCTCAGTTTGGAAAAGAGATCCTTAGATCCATATGGCATCCTTGGCAATGCCCTTTGTTTGCCTGATCTCTGCTGACTTTATAACCTTTCCTGGATGACTCAGGCTCCTCTTAGCTCTGACCAGTCTTTGCACCCCAACCACTGAGGTCTGACTAAAGTATCCACTTGTTCCCTTTCCAGATGGCACAACCCAATGCCTTTGCTGTA